GTCACAAGACATGCAATCTTCCCGCAAAAGTTAGCGGGTAACTCAAATAGTGTACATGTAACGTGACGTTAATTTTCCGTTTAATATAGCGGGGAAACCGAGTTGGTGCATTGTCCACACGACGAGTATTTTCCCGCAAATTTAGCGGGGAAACAAAATGTGCGTATAGGTCTCGTGCTGCCAATTTCTCCGAGATGTATATGTCAAGTGGCATCAGGTGACGTCAGGCAACGCCACTTTCGCCCCTAAATTTGGCGGCAATTGCATGAACGAACGGACGGACAGACGAACGGACAAAAGTTTGCGATTGAGAGGTAGTCTTAGGAAGCATTTCATGGTTTAAAATAGTCTCTTACATTGCTCGACTTCCAAGTTTTGCATGTGACGTCAACCCAATGGATAGCGCGGAAAATTGGAATATTGGTTTTGACCTTACCATCATTTGCCGTTCTTTTTATCGCTACTTTGAATTACGAGATAATAAAGAGCATTTTAGGAAGAGTAAAGCCTGGATTTTCCGAAAACGTATTTAGTCTGTCTAGCTAAAAGAAACGCTTCCCAGCGGCCTTACCCCTCAAGCTAAATACAAGTCCTTTAAGGAACTTGTGGTAGTTAGTCGCCAAGCCTAAAAATTATCTCACTTCTACAACGGTACCTTGGCTTGCAGACTTGAGCCCTTCTTTTTTGTCTTTGGTAGTGGTTATCAGTTGTGTTTTCCGTCGCCCAAAAAGTTTCCTTCCGTCCGTCATGTTTTTTTTTTTTTTTCTCATATGAATGCAAAACACACTTCGAACTCCCGGCCGCGCTGCAATAATCCTGAGGTATATTTGTTTGTGCGGGGGGAGGGGGGTGGAAGAATGCTCCTTTCTGCAATAATGGTTATTATTCGCAAGTTTTTCTGTAGTTTTCTATGTCCAACTCCTTTCCAAATGCCTATTAATGTCTACGATGTTTTACTAGTGTCAATAATATCGTTATCTGTTTGTTTTTTCTGAATCTAGTTGAAGAAGTTGCCAATGAATAGCTATTTGTCACAGTTAAAGCCAATGAATAGCTATTTGTCACAATTATGTGAGAGCCTAGAGACGCACCCCCCAACTGGCCAATAAAACCTGTTTGGAAGAAGTAGCAGCAATTTTCTTATTATTGCACGTTTGTTGATCTCAATGGCCTTTGATGGCTACCCGTCGTGTGTTTACTCATTTTAGCATTTGCATACATGGGTACCAGCTTGAATCGCGTTGGATGGTAATGACTGAGTTCGCTATTGGTTCGCCCTTGCGGGCGTGTCAGGCAAACATACTTGACATAAATAGTCCTTCGTAAGCAACGCTCAACGAGAAAAAGTGTATATCGGTAAACGAAGAAAGATTACAATTAGAGAGTCTAGGCAAGGAAGGAAGGGTCTTGAAGAAAACGTTAAAGTCTTCCGAAGAAACGCGGCGCAGTTCAGCGCGTTTCCGCTGCCCAACGCCTCCTAGATATCAAAGTCGCTGTCATAGAACCTTTGGCATCAGCCGACGCGGGGGACCCAGGTCACGGAGCCGGGAACGCCACTACGACTGGTATTTCTAGAGTCCTATCCCGCCCATACATCACAAGTGGTCCCGAAGGTGCAATACACGACGCCATAAAAGTCGGAGTGTCATGCATTCGGGTGTCACGATCCTGGCAGTGTGCCGTAGAAACGCTGGCGAAAAGCACGAGCGAACGTGAGTGTCGCTGTCGTCGCGGTGTCTCAAGTTCCATCTCCGGGCAGCCGAAGCTACCGTGGGCTGTCAGACTGGAGAGCGACCTGCAGCAGAACAGGCGTCCGCCATATCCACCACCGCTCTTGGGACGCCGCCAGGATCGCGACCGTCGACAGCATGACACTTCTGTGACGTCACCAGGCGGAAATCGAGGGACGGCTTCTTTAGACGAGGTAAACGCACCAGTCCGAGTCGGGTTCGAGGCCCGGGTTCGACAAGAGTGCTGCGTCGACATTTGGCTAGGACCCTCGTTCTCAGTGATTGGACACGAGTTCAAGCCGAGCGCCGGCGCAGCACTCGTTTTCACTCTGTGCCTCGAGTTGGTCTTCTCTAGGTGACGCCAGAAATTAAGCCCAACAGCTTTCTCATCTTGGAGACGTTCTGCCGGTGCAATTGCAGATCATGATCCGGGACGTTGCAGCATTGTCCAGATCCGAAGCACTTTCGCACATCGTGAGGAAGGGCGGAAGGCGTCGACTATAGTCCTGAGCTCATGTGTCCAAAGAAGTTCCACGAGCTTTCTTTCGGCCACTTTGCCGCTTGGGCGCACCGTTATTTGCCCAAAGTTTCACTATCGCCATGTTCTTGCTTTTGAAGTGGCTGTATTTTTCTCTGGCTTTCCTGTTGGAAACATAAAAGCGATATAAACAAAGGCGGGCATTTATAAATTATATGATTATGATGATTTTGGCTCCATTCCGCACAGGACAACGTTAGGAGAAAAGCGCGTTTAAATGGACAAGGGAACAACGTCCCGCCCGGTCGTCTATCCAAAACCGTAGATTAACGCTGTATGGCGCCTACAACCGTAAGTCGGAACCATCATCTCTAGGTTATAAAAAAAAAATATTCATCCCCATTTTTATTTTCACTTTGATATAGTGCGCACGGCAATTATTTCATTTGGCGTATACCTACAATCCACTTTGCTAACTCGTGAAGAACTGCCAATTCACCAATGTTCACTTTTAATTAGGAATCTCTCCTTCAATGTGCGTTTAGGGACTCCAATTCTTTTCGAAAATGTTAACTATGTCCATGCAACCTGCTTTGTAGTCGTAGTAGCTTGAGGGGGCCGAGCAACAATGTTTATACTTCGCTCAAATAATAGTGGTAGTTGTTCCTCGTCACGTCTGGGTTAAGACATGGAAACAAATCCTACATACACTCGTTAGCACTTTAGAAAAAAAATTCAAAACAATTCATGTTTTGCATCTCCTAAGCACCATCAATTTTTACACCTTCTTCCAAGTCACGTGCGTAGTGACGCGCAATAGTGAGTGTGCGGTTGGATCCTCTTTCAGAGCCTCCAGCGCGCCCGGCCTCTGCTTGCGGTTTACATGACGACCTTGAAGAATGGTCTGAATCATGCGGAGAGCAGAAGGAGGGGAGTGGGGGGGGGGGGGGGAGAGCAAAGAGCTTGACTTTTTGTAAGGTAGTTCGACTGACGTAGTAGCACAACGGGGCGAGCCTCAACGGAGGAATCTTTTTTTTTTTTCTACTTCGGGCAGATGGCACAACTAAAACTGAATACAGTACAGCTTTGTCCATGATACGAGGTTTTGACGCACTTAGTCATGTTGAAGCGATACTACTTATTCGAATAGAGCATTACAGTGAGCACATAATGGCACATCTTGCCAACGTATTACATATTATTCATTCCGCGTCACGCCATAGTTCCCATGAGCGCACCCCGCGGCCGGAAATCACGAAATATTCCTGTTTTTTTCTTTGCCATTACGCAACGGAATCTTGATATTAAAGAAAAATGAGGCGGTTGCTCCATTGCGTTTGGTAGCATAAACAATGTTAAATCTGAAATTGCGAATTCTTTCGAATTTACCTTTGTGGCATCGCACATTTAAGAATCGCAGGGTGTGTCCTCTTATGATTTCGCTTCTCGCTACGTGATTGGTTCTTTGGCGCCTGACGCCGTAAACTGTTTGGTTGCAGAGCGACAATCAGAAAATCAAGGTTGGGCGCGCCCTCCATTTCTTCAGCTGGCAGTACCTATAGTTTCCCGCTTTTGTAATCGAATATATGTGAGGAAAGTCTGGCTCTGTGAAGATACTCCCGGTCTGGAGGTCTTTAATCTTGAATTGGTCCCCCCATTCTAAGTATTGCTTGCTTTGGGTATCATAGGGATGTCCTGGCGCAACAACAATTTAAGTTTTCTGGCTCTCCGTGGCCCAAACAGTAGAAGGCAGGCTAAGCACGTTGGTAGTGTCAAGGCGGCCACGCCCCTTAGTTGTCATAAATCTGTAAAAACAAAAAAAAAAATAAACTGAAGAACAACTGCAGAACACAAGAGGGAGGAAACAATCTGCATGTGTCGACACTGAGCGCCGGCACTCTGCAGATTTACAGCCTCGTGATGGTTCGTTATTCGCTTTTTTATAAAAGAAATGCTGCATGAGACAGTGGTGGAAAGAATGAATATTGTGTATCCTGCAAATCGAAAGTCGTTTGCGCATACACACTGCTTCATTCGCGGCCCAGTACAGTAAACCCGTTGTTGTTCGTAAAACGTTTCAACAATGAGGGAAGCATACGTTCCACAAAACAAAAATAAACCTTTTAATTATAATATTTATCTCGTAAAATTAGTGGGGTAAAAAGTCATGTGTTTGAATTACATAAATTACATAGATGCGTGTGTTTTGCAAAAAATGCCTAATCCAGATTTCAGTCACAGTGATTGCTGCGACCCCTTATTGGACCGCAATGTATCCTTATGTAACTTACAGCCAATATGTGATGACCTTATGATGACTCTGCGATGACGCTCTCCGCTTTTTTTACCGCAGGCGGCACCATACGCAGAGGAGCAATTGCAATGCCTGCTCGAAGAGTGACACACTCATTTGTGAAAATATGCAAATATTACATTTATTCTTCCAGACGTACCATTGGAAGTGTCTCCCACACAAAAAGTTTCAACTTTCGGGCTCTGAGAAACCGTTACATGGGCAGCAGCTCAGAAAGACAAAGAATAGAAGCAACAAAAAACACCTGCAGACCCACGGTAAGACGGAGTCTGGGCCCCGTCACAAGGGCAGCAGGTATGAAAAAACACAGAATAGCAACAAGAAACACTCATAAAAATAGGATATCGCATGACTACCAGTGTAGTAACGTCACATCATGACGTCATGTTACGCTATGCTATCACATGACAACGAAACGTCATGTGGCACCGCGACGTCACATGACACAGTTACGTTTCTTTACGTCGTGGCGTTACATGACATCCTGACGTCACTTCAAATCGTATCACCACGACGTAACTAAACTCCGTCACTTCGTGGTGTTACGTGACGCCGTGACAAATGAAGGGGGTAGGGAAAGAGCTCAAAACAGCTATTGCTATTAACTATATGAAGGAAGCTTCCTGCAGGAAATGTGGTGTTCTCAGCAAGGCTCCCTTTTTTTCAAAGCACGGAAACTTGGTCTGAAATTTGACCCTTGCAGAGGCGTGCCATCAACCGGACTTGATGCGTGAAATGAAGTCCAGGAGTCGCTCCTCGCTTAACCACCATTCACGAAGAGAATCTGCCGCTGGTAGGTCCGGGTTCACTTCGATGTGGCCCCATCTGCACATGTGCAGGGACAGTTCTGCAAAAACCAAAGCGATTAATCCATGGCGTTTTGTGTAAAATACAGAGCAAGATGTGAAGTTCATTGGGAACTCTCTGAAGTGGCTTGAAAAGCAATAACTATGCAGGATCATGACGCTAAAGTTTTGTAGAGGTCGTGTAGGCTCAATTTTTAACATCTTTTAGTTCTGGGTAATCCCAGCTAGCAAAGCAAGTGACGGCAGTACCTTCATTTTCTAGCGGAAGGATTTCTTATAAATAAATATTATGAAATGTTTCTTAAAACACAATCAGAAACTTCCTTGGTGGTTGTCTACATTAGAGTCATTTCTTTATTGACTAGAAAAGCTCCGTAAACAAGAAGAGCCCAACGATCAACCGCATCAAGGGGCGCAGGCCGAAAGTCCTGCATCATGAACTGTGTTCAATCCGACAGGTCTTCCCAAGAAAGTCTTCACGTACCACATATTTAAATGTTCCGCCTGAGTGAAATAGTTCAATGGCCATTTGAGAAAGCCACATAAATCGGTTCTTTAACGCATCGCGCTATAATATTGCCTTAAGGGATGGCCGAAGGTTCTGCATTTCGTGCGTCAAAATGGAAACGAATGAGTTTATTTCAGTAACCAGTAAGACATTAAGAACTTGCTATTGCTACCTCCGGTGTCCGTCGACTAAAAAATGGTATCTGACTAGCGCAACAGTCAATCGATGGAGGCAGGTAAAAGTGAATCCTCGGACATTGATCTCCGATAGCATACGACGATTTCCAGTGAAATTCAGCTCAGGCTTTTTTAATCAAGTGCGTTATTCTCTTACTTTTACTATGGTTCCTGGAGCGCGTCTCTTACTGTTGCGTTTAGCGCGCCCAAAAAAGTGGTCGCTTGATTTCCGCGCGATGACGTCATAGAAGTGTCATGGTGTTGCCCGCCGTGATCCTGGTGGCGTCACAGCCGCGCTGCTGCACGTGGCAGACGCCTGTTTTGCTCCAGGTCGCCCTCCATCTTGACACACTACGGAAGCTTTGGCAGCCAGGCGTTTTGACGCTGTGACGATGGCGACACTCACGTTCGCTTTTGCTTTACGCCAGCATTTCTACGACGAACCGCGAGAATCGCGACATCCGACGTCATGACACTCCGGATTTGGTGACGCATTTCTTGCCACTTCTGTAGCACTTTAAACGCATGGGCGGAATAGGACGCTAAAGACACCACTCGGAGACGCGCACAAGGCACAGCCGTCCTTTTGCCAATAAAACACACTGAAGAGGCACAAAACCAATAAAAAACTAATATTATTTGTCTTATCGTTTTGAATATGTGTAAACAGCTGCCCTCTCTCTCCGCCGCAGTCTCCAGACGTAATACATTTTGGACCACCGGAGTTGGTAGCACATTCGCGCTCCTGATACCTTGCTCTTGCATTAGGTACGCTTTCTCTTCAAAATTTTGACACACGAAATGCACCATTTTCGGTAACTGCCCTACAAAATGTTTGCTCGAAACGTCAAGAACCCGAATTATGCAGACCCTCCAAAGAGCCAACAATTGATATGTCTCAGTCCGTATGTGAATATACTTACCAATATGTAGAACCGCACTCGAACAAAGGACACAAGGAACAAAGTATACGCACAATACTTGACAGTCAACGCCTAATGTATGAACTCTGTTTCTTGTGGCCTTCGCTGATATGATGTTGTTTATCTTTTTTTATAGATACTACTAACCAGTTGCTAAGTCGCCCAACTTAATTCCTTAGTACACGAAGAAATTTCATGTCACAACAAACTTACAGAGAAGTGTACACACGCCGAGCGACGTTGCTAAAGAAAACAAAGGATCGCCACTATTTTTGTACCTATGGGCGGCGAAATATTCACTGTGGTGGAAAGTGCTAATTTGAGGCACTAATCTCCCTATTGAAAATCGCTCTGAGGGGACTTCAGGAATTCTTTAAAGGGTGTGAAGGGGACTTCAAGAATTCTTGTGATGTTTGAAAGGTGAACCGATATTTCCTGGTGGGTTCGTTGGCCCCGTCAGAGGCTCTCCTGAAATGTCTGAAGTCCCCTTTACAATGCCTTGAAATGTCTGAAACCCTGTCAAGAACTTTTCTAATGGGGTCGGGAAAAGCTTCAGGCTTCTTGAGATCTCTGTGGGGACACGGCCTAGGTGGAGAAAATACATGTCGCAGAATTAGAACATAGCTACGTATTGTTCACAAAGGGAAAACAAATAATTATATGGAGAATGTCGATCGTATGTCTGTACGGTCAGTTTTTTATTACTGCTCTTCTATCAAACACAACTGGGCTCCTCGACCCGTCTGTCAGTGACCGGGTGTTCGGTCGCCAAGGGGGCTACGGATTCGATCGCCCCATGTGGAGAATTGACAAGGCGCGGGCCGAGTGTTGTTGGCCGAGCGGCGTTTTGAGGAGAACAAGCTTTAATTGTTGCACTAATAATAATAAAAAGGGCAAGCCGAGAGCAGCGCGTTGCCCAAATTCAGGGACGCTGCGCTGGGGAGGTTCCGAGGGCGAAGCGGCAGCGACTCGTGCCGGGAACCGGCTTCCCCGCGGGGGACTGTCCCCAAAAGGGAAAAAAAGTAAATAAACAAAACTATTTTGCTTTTCACCAGAGTCGGAAGCCCTCTCTTTTTCGCCGTCGCCAAAAACACGAACAGGCAACTCAAATCCCCCCCCCCCCTTTTACAACGCCTACACACACACACTACGCTTCTCTCCCCCCGGCAATGGGGAGAGGGTGCAATACCGCCAGTTCCGGACGGCACGCTTCTCCAATGGTCGGCGGGAGAGAGTGGTGTGAGGAAGCCGAAGAAGTCAGGAGGCCGCTATAGCCATTTTCTTTCCGCTCGTGGGCGGTTTGTTTCTCACCGCCATGGAGATCTCGAACGCACCGTTTCCTACATCCAGAAAGGTAAGCGCTGCTTTGAGGGCTCGCCCCTTGGTCTGTTTTAATCCGTGCCGTTTCTTCCTTGGTTCCGCAGGTGAACCCCAGTTCGGCGTTAACCGCCTTCAGCACCGCTCGAGCACCATCGTGTTCAGCGCATTCAAGGAAACTGTGGCCGGTGTCGGCCTACTCGCAGCAAGCCTGGCAGCCGGGATCAGCGTTCAACCGCATGTAGTGCCTACGCACCGGGATCATGGCACTGTGGGTCCTGAGACGGCGGATGACGGCCGCTGTCCCGCCTTGTTCTTTGCGCCTCTTCGTCCGACCGGCCTCAGAAGAATCCAGCGAGCGAAAAATACGCCGAAGACGCCGCCCCGACGACATCGTGGACGAAACCGTGACTGTGCTCGGAATTTCTCAACGGTGACGGGATCTGCTTGCGAGTTCGTGGTTTTCGCTAAACGTGCTTACTGAGACTCTGTATGTGTACGTGAGGTGCACCTGCTCCGTTTTATTAGCTGAACTACCGTACATCAGGTATTTACCCAACGGCATTGTGAGTACTTTGAAATATATTTTTCGTTGTCATAAAGAAGTTAGTTGTTCATATTTTATATTATCTCTTTCGTCGACATCTGCTTGCGCCCGGGTTTGAACAAGCGTTGGTTTTATTGTCTTTTTGAGTGTTAATACGCAATAAATTTTCAATAACGTTTTGAACTGAATTTTTGTCTATGGTTCACAGTCATTTGGGCGTCTAAAGGGTTGATGGGCTAAGGGGTTGGGGTTGAAGGGCTGTGGGGCTGGAGGGTTTTTTCTGAGGGGTATATCCGAAGGGTATTTTTGAAGGGTTTTGAAGGCCTGTGCGGTCCCATAATCCTTCAAGGCTGATGGGCCCTTTAGAATTATTTTCAATAGGGCTAAGGGATAAAATTTGGTACCCGCCCTTCATTTTGATGTAAAAGGCGAAAAGGCGCTAATGTCTTGTTCGTGCTAACAGTGTCGCCCATTGCACGTAAATGTTTCAAAAGCGTATGCATGGCGGAGCCAACTCTGGCTGTTAAAAAGTATCGTTGCATATTGAGCTCGTTGTTTCTAGTTTTGTTTTTTTTTCACTTTCGGTGAGTTCTTAGTCCTATGTCGCCAATTCCCGCTTCAGTTGCTCACTACAAATGAGACATTTAAAATTCTGTAATGCGAAACAAGCGCTCAGCTCTTGAGGAGGAGGAGGGGAAGGTACTGAAAGCAGGGCATGCTGATCCTCCTCCTCCATACCCTCCCCTTGTCCTTCCCTCCTTCTAGTTCCCTCTTCTTCTCCTCCTCATCTTTCTTCCCTCCTTTCCTCCATATCCTGCTCTCTCCTCCTACCCTCTTCCACACCTCCTCTTCCCTCCTCCTTCTCCTTTTCCCTCTTTCTCCTCCTGTTTTTCCTCCCCTCCTCTTCCTCCTCTTTCCGTCCTCCTCTGCTCTTCCCACTAAATCTAGCAAAAAGTTTCGCCGCTAAATTTAGCGCGAAAGGTTTCGTGCCAAATTTAGCGGATTAAGTTTTACCGCTAAATTTAGCGCAGTTACGCCGACGCCGACGGCGATGCCGATGCTGCGGAACCGGTAACGGGCGCCGAAGTGCTGCGCTCTAAAATGTTTGCTACTCCGTACACTGATTCAATCACTTTTGTCTTTCTACGTTTATGGCTGAGACTGCCACTTGAAAAAGACTGCCTCGGCGTTTAGTCGAACGCCTGTTTTTCATTTATAATCCTATTTTCATGCGATCCACGTTAAAACACTCTGTTCGCCTCAACCCTGCGCGGCGAGAAATATCTTGTTTCATACCGAAGATAAGCATCTTAGGGATTGAGATGGGTGGATGTCTTCAAGGAATCAGCGACGGCCAACAAACGCAAGGCTCATCAGTATCATGTGGGCAGCTGGTTGAGACAGACTGGCACACGGCACTAATTTAAAGTTTTCATATCATGTTAAATAAAGCTGAATGACTCTTTGTTCGACAACTCCGGCAAAAAACGACCAATTATCGTGCGTCCCTTTTAATGCCAAAATACGGGCGAGCGTTAGATAAGCTGGATATGCTCGCATCGAGGTCCAG